GAATACAGAAAGAAGGAAAAAGATACAAAATGTCAAGCTAACATTCTAATGAACGTTATTCCAAATCTCTAGTTATGTGTTTATAATTTTAGATGAAAATGATTTTATTATACTTGAATTCTAAAAAGTATTTTTTTCAGAGAAGCCAAAGTTTAATGATAACAGGAAGTTAGTCTCTTATACGTAGCTGTTAATTACCTCATTGGGTGGCAGAGTTCTGCTTTAAGTAATTGGGAAAACAACTGTGGAGACATTTAAGCGACACCTCTATTTCAGCAGGCAGCAATTTACAGAAGATACCTCTCAAAGGAAGTGGTAAACTCTCACACATTTGGATCTCAAAAAATAGACCCCAAATAGCAAAAATGATGTCACAGGGAATAATCTTGCATGGCAAGCAGGAAGACTTGATAAACAGATGGGATTTCCCAGTTTCTGCCATCTTTCCATTTTTGTAGCTCTTTGATTCAGGCAAGTGTGAGTGGATGCTAAAGATACTTGGTTAAAGTTTAATGGAGAATAGGATATTTACTCAGTCCCAAAGTATAATCTCACATATTACCACCACCAAAAAAAAAAATTAACTTCATAGTGAAAAAAACCATGGCAGACACTACCTTTACTAAGATATCAAGGCTAATTTCACTAAAAGTAGAACAGACTGACATTGTGTTGCTCCTGATGTGATGCATGTATGTAGTGATGATGTCAAAATGTATACCCTGAATCTGTTCATGAAGAGACAGACTAACCTGAGAGGAGCAGCAATCCACAAAGCTGGCCTGTATCCTTCAAGAATGTCAATGTTGTGGATGTCTTTCCGTGATAATAAACGTGCATTTATCTACATTATCCTTTTTCTTGGCTTAGAATATATGTCTACAGTTATTTAATCAGTTTCCTATTCATACTTTTTAGATTGATGGCAGCTTTTCTAAAGAGTGTGTGGTGAATATCCTTCTGCATTTGTCTGTTATTATGCGCTACACTAGTGCTGCTCTCTGAGTAGATTCTCAGATGTGAGATTGCTGTGTCACAGGGTGTGCACATTGTGTGTGTTAATAATATCAGGCCAGCTTCTCACAAGTTTACGTTCTTCTCAGCTGAGAGAACTTATTTCCGAGTCAGGCATTGTAACAGTACCTTTAATCCTCTGATGCTGGTTAAATGAAGGTAAAAGTGATCATTCCTTTTCTATCATCATGTTTTTGTCATTTTGTATGATTCAGCTTTTAAAAGCAGTCCATCTCCAAGGCCACGAAGGACCCGTTTATGCAGTGCATGCTGCTTACCAGAGGAGGGCGTTGCACACTCTGCTAGTGTCCGCAGCTGCCGACTCCACTGTTCGAGTCTGGTGTAAACAGGGTTCTGAAGGTAGGTTTAGAGGCATTATAATCCCAACGAATGAAATAGTAAATACCAAATGAATGACAGCTTAGAAGAGCATACATGTGATTTTTTCAGTCTTTCAAGCAGTTTTTAAAATGTTAGAATTCTAGTCTACATGTTTGTTTCTTTTGCGCTTTACCATAATTCTTCTTTACCAAACTGTTCGATGATAGAAATTCCTTAAGAGCTTTTTCATTGTAAGTCTTTGTTCTCTGTACTCTTGTTAAAAATTGGCCATTTAGATTCATGTGGTCGCCGGGGGCTCAGGACTGACCTCTCTCATCTCAGTGCTGACATCCAGGGCCCTGATGATGCTTGGGTGAGGCAGCTCTACGTGAATCAGCTCAGAGTTAGTTGTTCACGGTGTGTTTTATTGTTTCTTAGTAACATGCCTTCAGACCTTGAACTTTGGAAATGGATTCACCCTGGCTCTCTGCTTTTCTTTTTTGCCTAATACTGATGGTGAGTATCCTACTAATTGTATATTCAAAGAGCAATATATTTTCATAGCTCCATACAGTCAGAACCTAAGAACATAATGGATCCCAATTTTGTATCTAAATGTTTTCAGGAAATAAGTTGAGATATGCATAACATACTGATTTCTCAGTGTTCAAATGATCTGCGGATAAAACGTAAGGTTGGGGGCGGCTATTAGGAACTTTAGTAGCTGTTAAAATTTAAGTGACTTAATGTGTTCTCAAGAGTGATACTGCTGTTTATCAAATATGTTGTCAATGTATATAGATCTGATTTGGGAAAATTATGTAGCTCTGTGAAAGTTGAAGTTCTGGGATAAGTTGAAAAAGTACTGAAGATAGACCATGTGAGCATTTATCTCCAGGCAACAGCCCCTTGCCCATCCTGCATAATGACAGTTTGCCTAAGATCACTTCAAATCTCCCAGAAAGAAACAGTTTGCCTTTTGCTATGAAACCTGTCTGTACCCATCTTTGATTATCCTCCAAAGCTACTGGCCAGTGCCAGTCACTCTTATGCCTCTTCAGTTACCTGGAGGACAGACCTGGTGGGGAGAGGCTGGATCCGGAAGCCTCCAGGCTCTTTTGCCACCTGCAGAAGGAGCTGTGACTCCATGGTCTCACGTGATGCTCCTCAGGATGAGAAACTGCACACATTCCAGTTATATTACATAAAATTTAAATTTTTTGCATCTACATTGAGGCCAAGTGACTGGAGTTTTTTGGCTTTTTTTCCTTAGTTGGTTAAAAGAAAGCTAATTTTATAGTCATACCTTTCATAGCTTTTTAACCACATAGTTAATTATATGCTTTTTTATTTTGTTGTTTAATTATTTCATAGATTTTGTCTTACTGTCAGATTCTCAAAATGTAAAGTCCTCAGAGTAACAAACATACCTTTAAATCTTTGTGCAGTAGCCATGATAGTAAACTCTCCTGGAAATTTTGTTACTCACTTGGGCTAACAACGTTTCCTCTTCATCTTCTGGCTGCTGTGGTTAAATACTCCCAGCTCACTCCTGAGCCTCTTTTTACTGCTCCTTCTACCGTAAATGACACAGAATAGAGGAACGGATTCTCAGTTAATTAATAGTCGTACTTTGCCAAGTAACTATTTAATGGAACACTTTAGAATATTCATTTTATTCCTAAAGACATTTATAGAGCACTTTGAATTTAGTTGTTCAGTAGTGTGGGGAGTAGAAGTCAGGACTGTTTACCTGGAGCTTAGACTCCAGCGTAGGTGACAGTCATAGCATGTGATGGAATGCCTACAGTGAAGCCTCTTTTCTCCTCCCCCAGTGCCAGTATTAGCCTGTGGCGATGATGACTGCAAAATTCACTTACTTGTTCAACAAAACGATCAGGTAATTAATGATGTTTATTAAGAGGCTAGAATTACGTTCTGCCTAATTACATATCTTAATACAGACTATTTCCAGATTATAGAATTTTAGGAATGTTCTAGTCTAAAATAATCCAACAAGAGGATCTTTTTTGACAGCCCTCTCCTAGATGGTTTTTGAATCTTTGAACACCAGATAGCTGCTGCTTTGGCCACTAGGTCCGGAGTTGTTGGGGGAAACAGGTCATTAGGCGGGGAAGGCAAGAAGAGAGATGCTATAGTAGTATTTTTTCTTAAAAGTTTTAGATGAACAATTGCATACCTACGGTGAAATACTCTCTAGAGGTGGTTACTTGTCCTTCTGAGCATTACCTGTTCTTTGGGTGGTTAAACTAGAGGGATGTTTCAGAAAGAGGGTTGGTTAACTTTAGGCTTATTTAATTAATAATAGAGATACTTATTTCTTTGCATTTTATCAGACAGTTAAAAGTGATTGTGAATGTTCAACCACCCAACTTTTTTCTGTATTGTACCCACAGCATGTTGTGAACATTTAAGAGTATTTGAGGTCTACAGATGTTATGTACTCAAGATTGCTCAGTTAAGTGATTTGGATGATTATGAAATTTTTCATTCCCAAATGAGAGCTCTAATGAGATGTGTTTTGAGTTAAAAAAGAAAAAAGATGCAGTGGAACTGGCTGAGACCAAATGAAGTCACTGATATACGTGAAAATGTTAAATTCTTATACCAACTCCTGTGATTTTTGTTGTCTGACTAGTTTCAGAAAGTACTGTTTCTCTCTGGACATGAGGATTGGATAAGAGGTGTCGAATGGGCAGCCTTTGGTCAGTATGAAATTTTGCTAAAGTACACATAATGGGACAAGTATGTGTAACTTCCAAGGAAGCAGCCTCTTTTTTGTTGTTGTTGTTGTGTATGTATATTTTTATTGAAGTATAGTCATTTACAGTGTTGTGTCAATTTCAGCCTCCTATGTTTTAA